AGGTATAAAATTACGCCGATACAACCGTTTTATAATAACCCCCACACATTCTCGATTGGGTTTAAATCTGGACTGTAGCTGGGCCATGGTAAGGTTTTGATGTTGTTATTCTGGAGTCACTGGTTTATTATATTTGCAGTGTGAACAGGACAATTATCTTATTGGAGGATAACATTATTTTCTGGATACAACTATTCTACACTGGGAAACATGATGTTTTCTAGAATATTCAGATAAATCTGGCCAACAAACCTGCCACCAATACGCCATACCATTCCCATTCCTCTAGATGAAATCCATCCCCACACATTGACGCCAAAATGACCAGCTGCTCGATATCTATCAACATATAGAGGATTAAATCTATTATTATGTGGTCTATACAACCCAATTTTGCCTTATTTAGAAGATTGAAATTTTTCTCATCTGTAAATATTAAAAAATCTTAGTTTGTAACTGATGGTTTAAAGCAAATATAAGTCTTGATTGTTTCTGTTGTGGTGTAAGAGCTTGTTTTTTTGCTGCAGTTCGTACCTAAGACGCGATGCTTTAATTATGTGTCAAGTTGTTGTCTTTCTTCCCGGAAATTGTGACATATTGATTGCAGTTTTCGCATTTTCAAAAGGATTCTTTTCTAATCTCTTCAAAAGCGTACGATCTTCATGCGCGGTAGATATTTTTGGTCTTCCAGAACCTTGCTTTCTTTCGAGAGTTTCTTGTTCTCTCCATCTTTTATTAATATTAAAAAACTGTTGTTATGCTTACGTTAAAATGGATTTAACCAACCATATTCTAATTTCGTTACAATTCTTGTTCTTTGCTAGCATGTGGATCTATTTTTTGAGGTTGAACAGAATAAGTTATCTGACAAATTTTAAGATTTGGCAGTGACAGTAACATTATGTAAATAATAAGTATTTATTCTTCAAAATACACTGCTCAATTTTCTACAAAATACGTTTGAAGAGTCGTATTAGTTTGTTTACTATGTATACTTCCAACGAGCCCTGGTATATTAAAAGCTATTCCTAAGACTTCTAACAAAAAAGATTAAATAACTTCAGGAAAGTAGTAGACAAGGAAAGGTGAGCATGATTGAAAAACAAATCAAAAACATGAAAAATAATACCACTGCAGTTGTATGGATGTACACAAAGAGTAGTGACGAGAACGAAAGAGAAAAAAGTAAAAAAGAGTGGTAAAAAGAGAAAACAAAACGAAGAAGAATATATTAAGAAATGAAACGACTGCCATTGTATGAAATTTCACACAACAATTATTTCTATTCGAATACTGAAATATAAAATAGAGTCAAAATACATCAACATCAGTTGTAAATTTAATGGATCTCAATCAGCCACGAAACGCCCCCTTTACCCCTTGACTAAATAAGACGTGAACGGATACTGATCCTTGCTGATACTGCTAGCTTTTAACCTACATTTTAATCTACAAATAAATATTAATAAAAAGCTGCGTATTATTTCCGCCATCGATCTAGACCAACGGACAAAGGATCTACTGAATTTATACACAAAATAGGTTTTTACTCAAACGTATTACTGCAAGTGTTTTTCTGTAGAATATTTTTATAAGTATATACAAACTTGTCACAGGTGTCAACGCTTAACCTAAAATGTACGGTATACTGGAGCGTAAGCTCCCTGACTAATGTATGTTACTATTGCAGCGTAAGTTCCCTGATTATCACAATTCCAGTCGAGAACCTTTACTCTTATATATTTAGAAATATATAGAACTTTAACTCTAAAATCAACACATAAAAATACTTACGACTTCTTGGACACACTAAAATATATTTATGGGTAATAAATATATTTCTGTTTCAAGAAACTTTATTAAAAAATAGCCGACATAGGTTGATACATGCACAAGTTCTATCATTATTACTACAGTATTAGTTATCAGACAGCCTTAGTAATCATTTAGAAGGAATTGAGTGGATGGTCTTAGAAAAATGAACTAATTTGAACGTACAGATGCTTTAATGTTGAATAAAATCTCGAAAAAACAATTTTATAAACGATAAAAATTGTTTTCGTTCTAAAATATTCTATATATTCTAAAATCGACTAAAATAGAATCCGTCACTAGCATTTAAAGGACCAATGTGGACAAAGAAAGGATTCAGACATCAGACATTCAAATCAAGCCACTGAAATAAAAATCAGAAACGGAAACGAAAAAAATAAACTTTTGAAGAAGATACAGAAAGAAGGGGGTGAGGGAGTGTAACTAATGATAGAATATGTAAAATGAAGAGATTACTTATGTAACGAATGTTATTGACATAAAAAAACAAAGTTGTATGGACTACGTGATTGCCAACATCCACAGAGGATAAACACCAAAAGAAGAAGATAGAAATCTAGAAGACGTAGACAGAGGAATAGACAGAGAAAATAGTAATAAAAAATCAAGAAGCAGAGAGGAACAGCTCTGAATGTAGCTGCTCTGATGAGTGTATCACTCAGGATCTTGTGGTTCACAATTTGTAGAACCAAATCCCTAAATGCTTTTATTCACTAGTCAACTAGCAGACTATTAACTCTATCACATAAGACAACTTTTTGTTCCATCACTGTCTATATTCTGGGCAGATCTAGTGACAAACAACGTTTAAAGCCACTCAAATCCTCCTAAACTCAATATCGAGAAGCAAATTAGTGATACAGACAAAAACCACTCAATATTTATATGAATATATAAACAATAATATCTCCTAACACTACTACTGAGCTACTATGTACAAAAAGGATGTCTTAGCATAACAAGTCAAGTTATTTTAAGCAAAAATGTCGACTGTATAATTAAATGTATCATAAGAAAATAAACAATTAATATTTGTAGGAAACAAATTCGTGGCAGTGCGTTTAGTAGCTTAATTTTAACTATGTACAGTTCGGCATATTTAATTTTCCCTAAACGGTTGCGCAGTAGCAAAAAGTGAAGTAATGGGAGGGGTTACCGTTTGAATTAAGAGCACTAACATTTCGTTGCTTCTACTTCTAATGTAGTTACATTCTTTAGCTGCCCACCTGATGAAATAATCGCCAAACCTGCCACTGAGGGTGCAATCAAATTTTCAAAGCCGAGTTTTGAATTAAAAATGGATTAGCTAGTTTGGAGTTTCTTGTCCAAACCGTGGTAGAGGTACGGGCATTAAGATCAAAGATAGAGAAGAGACAAAGGAGAAAATGCAAATCACTTTAAGAAGAAGTTGTACAATGCGCGTCAAAAATGTAATATGACGAGTAATTGTTTAGCTTTTATAGTTAGATGCCCGCGATTTAAACCGGTCATGGTAAGACACCCCTATATAACAGTGTATATTAAAACTCAAATTAAAAATATATAAACAATGTTGAGTATACTAATATTCAAATCTATAATATATAGGTATCGTACTATCAACAAAGAAGATTTCAGTCTCTTTTATAAAATATGCTACAGTTAAATAAAACAGTATACTTTGATTAGGATATCTTGTGACACAACGCATCTTGTTTTAAGGGACAGAACTAAGTTTTAAAATTAACAATTTCTCCAAAAGACGAATGTACATATTATGACAATATATAAAAGCTAAAGTAGTAGTACTGCTATGAATGGGATAATATCCTCAAAGAAATGATTGCTAAAAATGATAAAAGCTAATATTTTATCTGCAGTAGAAACTCTGCAAATTTTCAAGGAGTGTTTAACTTGGAATGCGTGATTTAACTTATGACATACCTTTTTGAAACACTCTGTACTTATATACAGTGTATGGTTAGAAAGTTCTTTATGTTGACGTCAGATAAATTTGGCATAAAACGTGTAACATGTGACATAAAACGTAACATTTATGTGACATTTAACATAAAACTTGACATTTGACATAATACGTGACAAAATTGCGACATTTATGTCATTACACGTTTTATGCCAAATGTCACCTTCTTTATAGCTTTTTTCAGATCTACAGATTTGGAAAAAGCTATAAAGAATATGAAACTATAGAGGAATGAAATTTGGCTAAAAATAATAACTGAAAGATTTTATCTGCTGTACAAATTCCGAGTAAAATTCTAAAATAATTTTGAAAACTATAATAAGGAGCTATATTAAAATAAATCTGAATAAAGCTATAAAGGAGGTGTAATCCGTAGAGAAATGAATGTTTGCTAAAAATGATAAGAGCTAAAAGATTTTATCTGCAGTAAAAATTCTGAGTAAAATGCTAAAATCATTGTGAAATCTATAAAATTGATTTATTTGCGGGCTGAATGAGTAAAAATGATTTTTCTGCTGCAACTTTGTTAGTACTTAGCTCTCAGTTAATATCTGTTGACATTAAATGTCATTGAAATCTCAAACGAATTTATATGTATTCAAATGTCAAACATGAATAGCATAATAAAATATGGAGCTATACTACAAAAATAGATCTGGACAAAGCAGTAAAGGAGATGAAACTTTCAGAGGTACGAATAAAAAAATTGCTAAAAATAAAAAAAGCCAACCAACGTTTCACTTGAAGTAAAAATTCTAAATAAAACGCTAAAATCTAGGTTGATTAGGTAAAAAGATTTGACCTTTTCTTGTCTGCTAGCTTCTTTTTTAATACTTAGTTCCATCTAGCTTCCACTTATTTCAGTTAGACAAAACAGTTTTGAAGTAGTGATAACAAACAAATTCTGATCCATTTGTGTCACCAATAATGTTAACATTTGATACTATTATAGGAAAATAATTTTATAAAACTCAGGAGAAATAAAAGGAATACTGTTTCGTGGTATATGTTAAACTACACAGAGAAAAAGATTCTGTGCAATAAACTTAATGTTTTATTTAACTGTAGAATATAATAGCAACTGAGCACATCTTTTATATCTCTATACTACGCTACAGAGAAAGACATAAATATCAAAAGACCTATCTCTACAGAAAGTCCATGCTTTATAGAACAATTACACTCAAAACAAAAATAATATAGTTTAACGGTAACTATTACTACTATTACCTTGATCGAAACAACTCGGGTTGATCAGACTGATCAGTTCGTTCTCAGTCAAGGAGGTAAAACTTTGCGGTATCATCCTGTCAACGTTCTGAAGCTTATTCTTGTCGCCTTGCGACGCCGGCACCATTTCTTTGACAGGAATACTCATAGATCCAAAGGATTGGGAGAACGTTTCGGCTTGCGTCGTTAATTGACTTGTACTAGCAGGTAAGTTGGTCCCCAAGTCGCTGAGTTTCTTCTGCGTTTGGAGGAGATCGACGGCTGCATTCAGCAGCACGGCATTCTCCGGCTCGTTGGTCAAAGCGGCGGCGATCTCGGAGGGCTGAGGAGTGCTGAGAAGCGATTGCTGCGGAGAAGTGCTGCTGAGTAGCGCTTGTTCAACGGCAGTGGTGGTTTGGCATAAGTTCATGTTGGGGGAGGGCGCAAGAAGTGTTTCTTGTTGTAGCGCACTTGAACTGCGGCACATCATACTCGGGGAAATTTGGGAATTCAATATGACTTCTGAGGTGAGATTGGGCGAGGGATTCGACAGTTCAGCTGGTCCCAGAGAGGAAGTCGTCATGGTTGTGTTTATCATGGGAGGCACCATGAGACTAGCTTGGGAATTGAGCATTACATCTTGTGTGGGAATCATCACCTCTGGAGGAGCTGCTGATACTAAGGAGGTCAAATTATTTATGAGTATATCCTTCGGCGAGGAATCTGCTCTGGTAGGGCTCAAATGTGACTCCACGGTTGAATTGACTAAAGCATCGAGTCTTTCTGTGTTAATTGGTGTAGGAACACTACGATCGAGGGCAGTAGCTACTGTCGTTATCGCAGAGGAAGCCATAGCGTTTGTTTGTTCCGGTGACGACTGTTCAGGTACATCTGCACTTTCTGATTTCGCAACAATGTTCATCACTTCATTCTGTGTTCTACTTGACATAAAAGGCCTTGCAGAGCTTGGAAACATCGGCTCCCTCAGATTTAGTACACCGCACGTTTCCATCGTAGGAGCTTTTTGGCTAGGAAACAGGCTACCTTCCGTGCTGATAATATGGCTAATGTCATTTTTCATTAAAAGACCCGTTGGGTTCGTTAAAGGTATTAACGATGGTTTAGCTTCAATTCGGCTTAGATAGTTCTCCACACTCTGAGCACTTTGGTTGGGCAGTGGAGCTGACGGATGCTCCATAATACCGAAAGTCTGTAAGGCCGCTATAGAAGGTGCAGTCGTATTTACCAAATCAGCAACAGTGACCATCGGCATCTTCATGCGTAAATCCATCACTTTTTCCATACTCGTGCTGTTCTGATCAGCTAAAAGGGGAGTGGTTGGCAGAACGTTACTACACGTACTACCTTCATTTATGGACGACAGGTTTGAGTTTCCGCAGTCTAAAGAACTTTCGCAAATGTTCGTCACTCGGTTCAGGCAGCTTCCTCTGACTAAATCGATACTATCTTCATTACCCACACTTATGTTCGAGTTTTCATTAATATGACTCATCATGGAGTTTTCATTGATCATCGACATATTAGAGTCACCGTGATGAGCGTCTAAAGAACTCTCAGACAGATGCCTGTACCTCTCTTGTTCTATGATAGAGCTCTGGCTTGATTCATCTATGTATTCTTGTTTCAAAGAGTGTAAAGGTGGAGAATGACTGTCGCTGGTGGATGGGAGGTTAATGGAAGGTCTTCTTGTAGAAATCGGTACCATACTCGACTCAGGAGGCGGCATCATATCCAGATCTTGTTCTCTTTTACTGATGGACACATTGGATTGCCAGAAGGTACTCTTGAAGAACGTAGGCGGCTGGTGAGATTGAGGGGGAGCCGGTGCTGGTTCCTCCATAACTGAAAATTATGAGAAAAATCATTTTTTACTGACACACGACTGTTGGATTCCTAAATTAATAGCTGCCGGCTCAGCCACTGTAAGAAAAGAGGGGGGCTTGCCACTCAAGCAATGGTTGCGTTACAAGTTTCAACTTTATAACAAAAAATAAATGACGTAGAGTTTTACAGTGAAGGCATTTAGTAAAAAAGTTAGAAATTAACATTTTATGAATGAATGACAATGATTTTAGTCGATATTAGTAATTAATAAACAAACTGAATGCCTTATAAGAGTAAATTTAACTTAAAAAACAGTTACTTTTAGCCAAGGCTTGATAGGCATGATCCACAATGTTGACGTTTCACACATCGTACACAGAACCATCTAGAGCATGGTCACATTCTCACCTCTCTCACCAAATCTTCCCAAAAACTGTTCTGTTTCTAGTTTTAATAGGTTAAAGGGATTTTATGAAGTGTAAAAATTTTTTGAGATAAATTCTTCAGGCATAATCGTTTCTATGTGTAATAAGAAACCTCTCTACCCAAATGTTTGATATGTTTCGTGGTTAATTGCGCAGACACCTTAATAGTGATAAATTGGGATTGCAGAGGACTTTTCCAAAAGATTAATAACGAATTAGGAGCTAAATAGGTGTAAATATAGCAAAACTTGCAGGGATAACTTCATCACTTCGTTAGAAGTCGTGAAAAAAGATGAAATCTGCATTTTGAAATGAAAAGTTACTGTAATTATAAATGAATATGAGTATTAGTTACAAACAACCGTTATGTTTTTCGTTACGTTATGTAAATTTAGTGAATATACTCAAAAGTATGAAATATTTGTCAATTACGTCACTTGACATTAAGATAATGCAATCAACAGAAACCGTGAATTATCAAGTAAACTGACAAAATTTGAAAACAGCATTCAATGCTGCCGTTTGGGAACAGTTGTACCCAATTGGATACATTATCTCTTTCAACATACAGAAGGATATTTTAGGAATAGCGAACTAGGCTAAATAGGCATAAACATAGCTAATTTTCTAGGGAATAACTTCATCACGTTGTTAGAAGTCGTAAAATAAGATGAAATCTACATTTTATCAACTTGTATGTTCAATGAAAAGTTACTGTAACTATAAGTGAATATGAGCATTCGTAATGAACAGGTGTTATATTTGTCGTTGATTGTCAAACGTGAACAAATATATACAGTATTTGATTTTATATCTCTAGACTGTTAGTGTCTCTTTAGGTTGAATTAATGAAATTAACACTGATGAATTAAAAATTTAGAAAATATATTCAAAAGTACGAAATATTTGTCAGTCACGTCACTTGAAATTGATATAATGCAATCAACAAGATCTTGGATCGGAGATTGGAGATCTGCTGCAGACAATAAAGACCGCATAGTCAGAAATCAAATAGACTATATATTAGTCAAAAATAGATATATAAACTTAACTAAAGCAGTAAAAGCAAACACCAGAGCAGATGTCAACTCAGACCATAACGCGCCGAGAGCTAGTATGCACGTGAAACTCAAAAAGATTGTAATACCTAAAAATAAACTAATGTTTGATTACACAAACTTAAGAAAAAGAGAAATACATCAAAAAGTGATCCAACAAACTCAAATCTAACAGAAGTAGGAGAAGAAATCTTAACATCAGAAGATGTCTATCAAAAGTGAACCGATATTCAGAAGGCATTACTAAAGGCTGCAGAAGAAAATTCAAAGCCTGAAAAGACAAATAAAAAACAGAAGTGGATGACTTCAGAAATTCTAGCAGTGTCTGCAGAAGAAAATTCAAAGCCTGAAAAGACAAATAAAAAACAGAAGTGGAAGACTTCAGAAATTCTAGCATTAATGGAAGAGAGGAGAAAAGCCAAAGCAAGAAATGGGCCAAAATATAAAGAACTACAAAGTAGAATTAAAGTAGAGATAAAAAGGCCAAGGAAATGTGGTTAACAGCTCAATGCATAGAAATAGAAGAATATGACAGAAAATACGACAGCTGGGTACATTAGCTTTCTCAAGGTACAAAAGTACATTTTATGAGTAAATAATGTTACATACAACAAATAATTTGCTACAAGACTAAGAATTTAAAAGAAAACTATTATTTGACAGTTGACTAACAGCAATGTTGTCACTGACAACTAATTCGTCCTTCCAGTATATTTATACGACGATACCATTATGAACACTCAATGTTGCCAAGTTGGATTTTAAAGAGTTATATACAGGAAAAATGAAATATTGTACATGCTGAACAATTATTAGTCAACATATTTCTTGATTTAAGCAAATTAGTATTATTTAAATAAAGAAGTAGACATTTGTTTACCACAAGCAATGTAAAACATCACCTTTCCTTATTTAAAAACGCTTGTTTCTATCTAACCTATAGAACCTAAGCCAACTTAACTTTATTTTAACACTAAAAATATTGTTTTTGATCGAAGTGAAGTTTTTTCTTGTGGTAAACGAAAAATATCTACTGAACGCTGCATTCACTTGATTCTTAAGGGTTCCACGCGGATCTATATTGCAATTCCTAATACGAGTAACATATTTTCTTGTCCGATAATATCAAGAACCCAAAGAATACTGATTAGTAACATTGTAGAGAGGATTCTTGCGGTATAAGTAAGGACGTCGAGGCATGGAGGATTTTAAAAACCTAATATCAAACAACACACAGGCAACTCGGTCGCTCAATGCGTGAACATTGCGGATCTGTATCAGGGTATATCGATGTTGGTACTCCTGCAAGAAAACAAAAAGATCCGGCGATTGATGAACCTAAAAAAAGGACGAACTTCTTGGTCATCCTCGTCGTTCTGGTCCGATCCGACACCTAAAGGTTTAGGCGATGCTTAAGATTAGGATACATAAATTAATATTAAAAATTAACCTAAGGTTGTGTGATGGTAACTAATTTGGAAGAGTTTTGAGGGTGGATTCGTTTGTGATCTGTGGGACAGTTCAAAAATCATTTTCCAAAGGTTAACTTGTTGAAAGTCTATCAGTTAAAAGACGTTGTAGGTTTTGTAGGCATATATTTCGCAACAGCAATTTTTGCCAATAAATAATACAAATATTAAGAGATTTTGTTATTCTAGAAGAAATTGGTTCAGAAAGAATTGTGTTGAGATTTTTAAATTTACTACACTTTATTTTGTATTACGAGTGAGTTTTAAAGTCCAAGATGGTTCTTATAAACAATTATTATATTGCAAGCTTTCTATTTTCTTTATGTGTCGTGTAAATGGCAAACACTGGCGTGCTTTCAAGCCTTCTTTGAACATATTTCCAACGTATAATAGACACATGTTCTATTCGGGCAAGATCAAAGACAACATAGCTCATGCTATTGGTTAAATTCATCACGATTTATGCCTCAGACTCAACTAGAATATACTATCGATGAAAAAATAAAATGTTCTCGGGTGCATGGTTTGACTGAGTGATAATTATATCATTCCGGAGTGGGGACGTGATGAAAATTTCAAACTAAACATTTCATATGGCATTGTTTATTAGTGAAGTTAAGAATATAACTCCTTTAATAGAATTTCTGGACGAAATCACTATAGATAACTACGAAATAAAGGTTCTTAGTTTCTTCTTCTTTACGTGTCAGCTCCGCGACGAAGGTTGGCAATCATCATGGCTATTCTGATATTAGATGCTGCCGCTCTGAATAGTTCGATTGCTGTGCATCCGTATCATTTCCTCGAGTTACATATAGTGAGAAATAAAAATAAATACAGAATCCTACTATTGATATTAGAAGGGCAAATAGAAGGAAAGAGAGGACCAGGACGCCGCCGAATATCCTGGCTTAAGAATTTGAGACAGTGGACAAATATGACCACCACAGATCTATTTCGAACAGCTGCTAATAAAATACGATGGGCCATTGTGGTAGCCAACATCCATAGAGGATAGGCACTAGCAGAAGAAGAATTATGTAATGAATAGCACCAATCATCCTGACGGTACGGTTCACGGCGGATCTGCAGGCATAATCAAGAAATCAATTAAGCATAACGAGCATAGCAAAACCAACTTTCTTCGCTTCAACGCAAATCACTTCCCAACAAGTCCTAGGGCCTAGACAATGCCCTACCTTCGAGACCTTCATTACCTTGTAAAACATCACGATGAGTATACTAGGCTTTACCCAATTATGACTTGAATCCTTCAAAACAGTGTTCTCGAACCAGAAAAAAAATTCTGTGGCGTCGTCGGTTTTCCAAGAATAATTTCTTAAATGAGTAATAGTTTCCCATTGGACGGTTTTAATCTTAAATACTGTGATTTTCATCGCCGAATTTGAAGAATTAGAATTAGAATAAAACTCAGTTTATTATGCCTAATGTTTATACACTCCCCTCAATACCAAATAAAGTTTAAGTAAAAGGTATTTACAAAACACTAAATGTGTTTCTTAGTGTCCCGATTTTTCAAAATTTTTAATTAATTATAAAACTCAGCCAAGGTTGATCATTCAAGATGCCTAGGTTGAAAATTTGAAATGCCTCCAACATTATTGAATATATAATTTGTCGTGGAAACCAAACTTATTTGAATTTTTGTTTTTTTTTCCGATACGGGAAACACATTTTTGATAATTAGAACCATTTTATTTTTTTATAAGCAATAAATTTTATATTCCTTTAAATGAGTTTACTTTTTCGAGAATAATCATGTAGTCTCATTTTTGATTTGAAGCAACTTTTTCAGTAATTATTGTGTTGTTATTTTAAAGATTTAACATTTTCACATTCCAATTAACCAAAAAAATCGATTTTATGTGTATAATTCTAAAAACAGAAACAAATTTTTAATGAAATGAATCTTTAACAACGAGATTTTTGCAAAACGATTAACGTAACGGTCCTTTAACTGATTTTAAAAAGTTGATTCGCTTAGTGTGACATTCTCTGTCGTAATTTATCAAAAAACAAACTGTTTGGATGCCTAACTTGTTTTA